GGGAGCATTCTAGAGGCAGCCAATCTATGTTTGTCTCTCACATCAGTGTTTCTCTCTCTGTCTCCCTCTCCCTTCCTCTCTCGATAAAAATCAATAAAAAAATCTTCACTCCTATGTTCATTGCAACATTATTTATAATAGCCAAGATTTGGAAATAGCCCAAGTGTCCATCAGTAGAAGAGTGGATAAAAAAACCTGTGGTACATTTACACAATGGAATACTACTCTGCCTTGAAAAGGAAGAAAATGTTACCCTTTGCAATAGCTAAGTGAAATAAGCCAGTCAGAGAAAGACAAGCACCATATGATTTCACTCATATGTGGAATTTAATGAACAAACTGAACTACTAAGCGAAATAGAGACAGACTCATAGATAGAGAGCAGGCAGACAGCTCTGGTGGGGTGATGTTGGGGTTGTGGAGAGATTGAGCAAAAAGGAAAAAAGAGAGAGAACTTAAGGACATGGACAACAGTGTGGTGATGGGGGGGGGGGGGAGGTGGAAGAGGCCGTAGAGGGGATAAATGGTGGTGGGAAAAAAGTATCCATTTCATGTCCCTCTAGAAGATTGCTTCTACATTTATTCCAATGAGTTGTTGAAGGAATCTGTATCAAGTCTTGCTTTCTATGAAAATGTGGAAACATAGCAAGGCCTAATTTAAATAAATAAATAAAAATAAAATGTTTTTTTAAAATTGATTACTTAAAAAAGAGCAAAAAACAAATGGGGTCAATAAAGGTATTTCAATGACACCCTCATCAGACCCTGGTGACAGCACCTCCCCTCAGAGCACAGATGACCTCGGTGTGACGACAATCTGAGCCCAGTAGTGCTAAAAGTCCTTGAGTAGATTTTCACCCCAAAACCAGAAAATGTGCATCCACCCTCCCACAAGACCCCCACCTGCTTGCCATTAGAACCCTGTCTTTTTCCCTCCTAAGAAACAAACTGCTTTTTTTTTGGCCAAAACAAGCCTTATCCTTCCTTGTTCTTTTCCTTTGCTCCAGTTGGTCCTCCACAGGGAATAAATGCCTTCCCTCTAAACTCCAAATAGTCAAATTCTATTTTTCCTTAAAAGCATTTCCCCCATGAAACGTAACTCAAACACACCACTTCACCAGCCAAAACAATCTCTGCAACCCAAATCTTCTTGTGAGTCATTCAAACAGCTTTTTCTAAATGTATTTCATAAACTTTCTCTCTCCTCTTAGAACTGTAAGTAACTTAAGGTCCTAGTTTGAGTATTTACACACACATACACACACACACACACACACACACAACATAACTCTCTGCACAGAGCTGGCATTCGATGACCATGCAGGAGGGAGAGTAATCAAAGTCTCATCTTTTGAATTATGTCTGGAGTTTTATTTCTACCATATAAGTCAGCACAGGCAAATTGCTATGGAGAGCTAAGGTATTTATCCAAATAATTTTTTTAATGAAAAAAGAACTTTAACTCTAAAACCAATAGATGAGAAACTAAAACTGAAACGAAATGGGCATAATCAATAAAGTGTCAAAAAAAAAGAAATTAAAACTATTTTTAAAGTCTTCAAATACATTTCTTAATTCTTTGTCACATATACATAAAAAAGGATTCAAAGAACAGATGATTAAATTAAGTAAGTCTTTAAAAAATACAAATCTCTGCTCAGAGAATAGTCAGTTGACAAAATTTCAAAAAGTCAAGCTGAGTTTTAAAACAAATTATCCACCTGTCAGAATGGCCGCCATCAACAAATCATCAAACAACAAGTGCTGCTCAGGGTGTGGAGAAAAGGGGACTCTAGTACACTGCTGGTGGGATTGCAGACTGGTGCAGCCACTATGAAAAACACTATGGTGTTACCACAACAAATTAGATATTGAACTGCCATTTGACCCAGTGATCCCACTTCTAGGAATATACCCCAAGAAACCTGAAACACCAATCAGAAAGAATATATGTACCCCCATATTCATAGCAGCACTATTTACAATAGCTAAGATCTGGAAACAGCCCCAGTGTCCATCAGTAGACAAGTGAATAAAAAAGCAGTGGTACATGTACACAGTGGAATACTATGCAGCTGTAAGAAAGAAAGATCTCTTTTCCTTTGAGACGACATGGAGGGACCTGGAAAGTATTATCCTAAGTGAAACAAGCCAAGCAGAGAAAGACAAATATCTCACTTTTGTGAATATAATGAACTAAACAAACTGATGAACAAAATAGACCCAGAGTCATAGAAGTAGGGTACAGACTGACAATCCTTAGAAGAGGGGGAAAGGAGAGGGAAGGGTTAAACCACAGAGCTTATATGCATGTATGCATAACCAATGGACATGGACAACAATGCTAGGGTTGGGGTGGGGGTGATGGGGAGGAGGGTATCAATGGTGGGAAAAAGGAAAAACATCTGTAACAAAAATAAATTAATTAAAAATAAATAAAATAAAAAATAAATAAATAAAACTAATTATCATCTTTATTTAATCTTAATATGACAAGCCACCCTCTGTTCCTAATCTATCTGAATATCTCTTGACTATTATTACTTGTTATCAATCTGGAAAGGAAGGGAAAAGTATGTGAGCTGGGAATAAAAAGCAGGAATACAATGAATATTGTATAAATTGCACTGACAAGGATTTTTAAAAAATGCTGCTGACAAAACCAGAATGGAATTGGCACTTGGTGATACTGCTCCTGACTGCTGGTGTTGGCACACGGGATGAACAAGTTCCATGAGCTTGCTGTGCTCAGCCCTGCACTCTCTCCACCAAGGGGCCACACTCAGTCCTGCTGCCTTGACCCCACCACTGTGGAATTCTGCTGCCAACTATCCCAGGGCCAGGCGAACCTTTTACTCCATTTTACTCCATCTTTCCACAAGGAGTTGTCTGTCTAGCCCAGGTTCTCAACCTTCCTAATGCCGCGACCCTTTAATACAGTTCCTCATATTGTGGTGACACCCAACCATGAAATTATTTTTGTTGCTGCTTCATAACTGTAATTTTGCTACTGTTATGTCTTAGGCGACCCCTGTGAAAGGGTCGTTCGACCCACAAAGGGGTCGCAACCTACAGGTTGAAAACCGCTGACTGGCCTCGGCCTCTACAGTAACTAAGAGAGGGCCTGGCCCTGGCCAGGGTGGCTCAGTTGGTCGGACATCATCCCATGCAATGGAAGTACACTGGATAGATTCCTGGTCAGGGCACATATCCAGGTTGCAGATCCGATCCTTTGTTGAGGTGCATACAAGAGGCAACTGATATTTCTCTCACGTTGATATTTCTCTCCCTCCCTCCCTCTCCTGTCCTCTCTCTCTAAAACCAATAAAAACATATTTTTTTTAAAAAGAGAGAAAGAAAAAAAAATTTTTTAAAGAGAGAGAGACATGGCCTGACCTATCTGCGCTCATTATGCATCAATTCCTACCTAGCTTGGCACTGTGCCACCGCCCCAGTAGGGCAGAATGGTGCATCTGGGGGGATGGGAGGATCCAGACAGCGCTGCTCCGAGGCAGGTCTGAAACAGGACACAGCATGGACCAGCAATGTTCCCCGATGCGTGTCCTAAGAAACTGTTCATGGGTAAGATGCCTCTTAAAGCACTGGATTTTATGGTTAAATAAATTTGGAAAAGACTGTAGGCTGAATCTTCCTCTGGGAGTTTCATAATGCACATTAGCATATTAAAGGTTATCAGTCCTGCAGCAAGGGACTCCATGATACTTTATTTAACTCGGTAAGTTTCAAATTTATTTGGCTATAAACCTTCTTTCCAGTAACACTTTTCACTTTGGGAAATACTTGAAGCTATAGATAACAGCTATGTGGCTTCAAATCCAGCTCCTCTTGGCTTCCCCGTCTGGGAATTGTTGCAACAAGAGGTTAGTGTAAGAATGAAACTAGAATTGGGAGGTTAAGATTTTCTGACAACCAAACTGCCAATTTTACTTTAATATACGAAAAACATTTTTGAAAAGCAAGAGAGAAAAACATATTTTTGTGTCACAATTTATACAATGGTCCACTGTAGCATACTATTTAAAAACAAAAATTTTCTATCATGGACCCACAATCCAATTATGTATATCTTTACATGCAAAGTGAAAGAGAGAACAAAGTGATTACCCAAATATTTCAAGTCAATATTTTCTTTCTATAAGAATATAATTCTGCCTGTTAATTTTCAGATAAGAGATGCTTGCTGGGTTTGGATGTGGACATAGAGAAGAAAGTGGGAGCGAAGTCCATTGGAAAGGTATCATAATTCTCTACTTAGCCGTTTACATATACTTGCTTAATATATCGAAACTTAGGTAGATACAATCACTTGACCATCTGAAACCACTAAGAAAATATCCAGAATATCATATGATATAATACACTGAAAATTCCCCCAATATCTGAGAATCAATGTTCCCACCTTGCTGAGCACCCAATTTGCTATGGAAAGAGTTGAGCACTAAGGTACACCAAAGTCTCCTAAAAATCAGTTTTCCCAGACATGAAACAATTCTTAAAACAATATTCGTATATTTTCTTTCTAAATTCAAGCAAGCATCTCCAGTACTTCGATTAAAATCTGTTCACATTTATGAAAGGAACATCCTGGTACCATAGAAATGATCTATATTTCAAATTATAAATGTTCAAAAACCTAACCCTTTAAGATTTATGCCAACCCATAAAAAGATTTACTCAGATTTACATTTGAATGCCATTGCCTATTTCATTCTGTTTAACTCAGAATCATGTAAACATAAATAAATGCAAAGTTCTCCCTTTCCAAAACACAGTGGTAAAATTGTCACACAGTAAGACAATCTGAATCAACAAGAAAATATTCGAAGACTTCCTCCTCCTAAAATCTGGGGGGAAGTTATCTGTAAACGAACTTATTTAACACTTTGATACTGGAATGAACTCGTTCTCTTCACTATTGCATTTCAGTTCCGGGGTGGGAAGTGACCCCGTTTCCAAGGGCTCTGAGGGCGGTGCCTTACCAGTGTAGATGCTGGCATTGGAAGCCGGAATGCCAAATTGTGACTCGATGAACTTGGGAATGAAGGTAATGAAAGCAGTTACAATGGCACTCTCGGCTGTGTATGACAAACTCACAAAAAGGAATGTCATGTTGCTTAAGATCCTGACAGCTGCTCTTGGTAGGTCTACAAAAATGACAAAAATGACAAATGAATGTTATAAACAAGGGATGGAAAACAAAATAAAACTGAATTGTTTTAGAAATGAACTGAAAACAGCCATTCAGCAATATTTGAGAATATTGAATAAAGAATAAAAATAGGAAAAACCTGATGCCCGATTAGAAATGATCCCCTTTATTAAATAAACTTGCGTTTGTTTGTCTTTACTTTTTAACTAAGATAAAGAAATTTAATCTTTTTAAAACACACCCATAAATATCCATATAAGAAGCACCCAATCTATGACTCCTGTTTTAAAAACTGTTTAAAATAAATTATTTGATTGGGAAGAGCAAATAAAGCCTTTTATAAGAAAAATATATAAAATAAATTATTTACCATTTTTATTTATTAAAATAATGTTATTCTTTAAGACTCCAAAGTCTGCTAAATGTGTAAAATGCCTGCAAAGTAACCCTAAATTACAGTTTACTTCTGGGTTGCCACCTCCCTGGCACGCACAGCTGGGGAACTGGCACATTGTTGGACGGCTGATCTTCCAGCCTCAGGAAATAATATAGCTCGAGGGCACGTGGGATAAGGCCACCAGGTCAGACACTCCACGGGACTGAGGAACAAAGAGAAATGACCTCCAAAGGAGCAGGACAGCCCAGAGGTGGGAGCTCAGCACCTGCCCAGCGGGCTGTCAAGGAAGAGAGTCCATTCCCCCACTGGAGGCACTTATTTCACAGAACTTGCCGTATACGTGCTTCAAGACGCATGTGCAAGTATTCCTATGTCCACATTGCTTATAACACAAAATCTGGGGGGCAGATGCCCATCAATGGGAAGTGTTTAAATTATGGCACAGGCATATAATAAAAGACTATGCAGCAATGAAAACTGAAATAAGCCGTACATACTGCATAAAAGGAACACCAAGAAATATTTTTATTAATAAAGTCAGCTGCTGCAGAAATATATATGTGTGTAAATTATATCATATATTTATATAATATATAATTATATATATAATATAAATATATAATTATATGTAATTATATATTATATATAATATTTAAATAAAAATCAAACAAACCAAAAATGTATATATATACAGTAAAATGTATGCAGGATGGGGCAAAAGTAGGTTAACAGTTGTGAGTTTGTGAAAGTTTATTTTTGTATTATTGTTTATTAATTATTGTATTATTTTTTATATGAACAACTGTAAACCTACTTTCGCCCTACCCTGTACATCTCCGTATCTGTAACACCAAGAAATTATATGAATGGAAGTAAGACTGGAAAAGAGGAATAAAAGACAAAGAGAGAATCCTAAAAGCAGCAAGAGATAAGCAACAGGTTACCTACAAAGGAACCCCCATAAGGCTCTCAGCTGACTTCTCACAAGAAACATTACAGGCTCGAAGGGAATGGCATGAAGTAATCAAGGTCATGAAAAACAAGGATCTGAATCCAAGACTACTCTACCCAGCAAGGCTATCGTTCAAAATAGAAGGTCAAATAAAGAGCTTCCCAGACAAAATAAGGCTAAGGGAGTACATTAGCACCAAACCAGCACTGCAAGAAATGTTAAAAGGACTGCTGTAATTACCAGGAGAAATGGGGAGAAAAATAGAACCACACTAAACAAAAATGGCAATAAATAAGTACATATCAATAACCACCTTAAATGTAAATGGACTGAATGCTCCCATAAAAAGACACAGAGTAGCTGATTGGATAAGAAAGCAAGACTCATCTATATGCTGTTTACAAGAAACCCACCTCACAACAAAAGACTCACACAGATTGAAAGTGAAGGGATGGAAAAAAATCTTTCAAGCAAATGGAAAAGAAAAAAAAGCTGGGGTAGCAATACTGATATCTGATAAAATAGACTTCAGATTGAAGGCCATAACTAGAGACAAAGAAGCCCACTACATAATATTGAAAGGATCTATCCAACAGGAAGATATAACCTTGATAAACATATATGCACCCAATATAGGAGCACCAAAATATATTAAAAATCTTCTGGAGGACTTCAAAGGAGAAATCGATAGCAATACAATCATAACAGGGGACTTCAACACCCCGCTCACATCACTGGATAGATCCTCTAGACAAAAAATTAGCAAGGAAACAGAGACTCTAAATGAAGCACTAGACCAAATGGATTTAATAGATATCTACAGAGAACTACACCCCAAAACTACAGAATTCACATTCTTCTCAAGTGCACATGGAACATTCTCAAAGATAGACCACATGTTAGGGCACAAACTAAGTCTCTACAAGTTCAAGAAGATTGAAATTATAACAAGCATCTTCTCAGACCACAATGGTATGAAACTAGAAATCAATTGCAAGAAGAACATACAAAGACATTTTAACACATGGAAGCTAAATAGAATGTTATTAAACAATGAATGGGTCACCGAGGAAATCAAGGAAGAAATCAAAAACTTCCTGGAAACCAATGAAAATGAGGACACAACAATACAAAATCTATGGGATGCAGCAAAAGCAGTTCTGAGAGGGAAGTTTATAGCACTACAGGCCTACCTCAAAAAAGAAGAAAAATCTCTAATAGACTACCTAACCTCACAACTTAAAGAACTAGAGAGTAAACAAAAAGAAAACCCCAGAGCAAGCAGAAGAAAAGAAATAGTAAGGATCAGAGCAGAAATAAACGACATAGAGACCAAAAAAACAATCCAGAGGATCAATAAAACAAAGAGCTGGTTTTTTGAAAAGATAAACAAGATTGATGGACCCTTAGCTAGACTCACCAAGAAACAAAGAGAGAGAACCCAAATACATAAAATCAGAAATGAAACAGGAGAGATAACAACTGACCCTACAGAAATACAAAAGATCGTTAACAACTACTATGAAAAATTATACGGCAACAAATTCGAAAATCTAAGCGAAATGGACAAATTTTTAGAAACACATAGCCTCCCAAAATTGGATCAGATAGAGATTGAAAACTTGAACAGACCAATAACAACAGAGGAAATTGAAGATGTAATCAAGACTCTTCCAGCAAACAAAAGCCCAGGCCCAGATGGCTTCACAGGGGAGTTTTACCGAACATTTAAAGAAGAACTAATACCCATTCTCCTCAAACTATTTCAAAAAATTCAAGAAGAAGGAAGACTGCCAAACTCGTTTTATGAAGCCAGCATAACTTTAATTCCAAAACCAGAAAAAGACACAACAAAGAAAGAAAACTACAGGCCAATATCCCTGATGAACATAGATGCCAAAATCCTGAACAAAATACTAGCAAATCGAATCCAGCAATACACCAGAAAAATTATCCACCATGACCAGGTGGGATTCATCCCAGGGATGCAAGGCTGGTACAATATTCGCAAATCCATAAATGTGATACACCACATAAATAAATTGAAGAATAAAAACCACATGATCATATCAATAGATGCTGAAAAAGCCTTTGACAAAATCCAGCATCCATTTCTGATAAAAACGCTCACCAGTGTGGGAATTGAGGGATCATACCTAGACATAATAAAGGCCATATATGAAAGACCTACAGCCAACATCATACTCAATGGGCAAAAACTAAAAGCATTTCCCTTAAGAACAGGAACAAGGCAAGGATGCCCACTTTCGCCACTCCTATTTAACATAGTACTGGAAGTCTTAGCCACAGCAATCAGACAGGAAGAAAAAATAAAAGGGATCCAAATTGGAAAGGAGGAAGTGAAAGTGTCATTATTTGCAGATGACATGATACTGTACATAGAAAATCCCAAAGACTCCACCAAAAGCTTACTAGACTTAATAAATGAATTTGGCAAAGTAGCAGGATACAAAATTAACGTCAAGAAATCGATGGCATTCTTATACACCAATGATGAACTCACAGAAAGAGAAACTAGGCAAACAATCCCATTTACCATTGCGGCAAAAAAATTAAGATACCTAGGAATAAACTTAACCAAAGAGATAAAGGACCTATTCGCAGAAAACTACAGATCTTTGAAAAATGAAATAGAGCAAGATGTAAAAAAGTGGAAGAACATACCCTGTTCATGGATTGGGAGAATTAACATCATTAAAATGTCCATATTACCCAAAGCAATCTATAGATTCAACGCAATCCCCATCAAAATACCAACGGCATACTTCAAAGAATTAGAACAATTACTTCAAAAGTTCATATGGAACCAAAAAAGGCCTCGAATAGCCACAGCAATCTTGAAAAGGAAGAACAAAGTTGGAGGGATCACAATACCAGATTTCAGGTTATACTACAAAGCCACCATAATCAAAACAGCCTGGTACTGGCACAAGAACAGGTATATAGACCAGTGGAACAGAATAGAGAACCCAGAAATGGACCCTAGGCAATATGCTCAATTAATATTTGACAAAGGTGGCAAGAGCATACAGTGGAGTAAGGACAGCCTCTTTAATAAATGGTGCTGGGAAAATTGGACAGCTACTTGCCGAAAAATGAAACTAGACCATCAACTTACACCCTACACCAAAATAAACTCAAAATGGATAAAAGACTTAAATGTAACCCATGAATCCATAAAAATCCTAGAGGAGACTGTGGGCAACAAAATCTCAGACATCATACGCAGCAGAATTTTTACTGACACATCACCTAAGGCAATAGAAACAAAGGAGAAAATGAACACATGGGACTACATCAAACTCAAAAGCTTCTGCACAGCGAAAGATACAATCATCAAAACGGAAAGGCTACCCACTGTATGGGAGAGCATAATTGCCAATGATATATCAGATAAGGGGTTAATTTCCAATACATATAGAGTGCTCACACAACTCCACAAAAGGAAGACAAAGAATCCAATTAAAAAATGGGCAGAGGAACTAAATAGACACCTCTCCAAACAGGACATACAAATGGCTAAGAGACATATGAAGAAATGTTCATCATCACTAATCATCAGAGAGATGCAAATCAAAACAACAATGAGGTATCACCTCACACCGGTCAGAATGGCCGCCATCAA